AATGAATCTCCTGTTACATCCTGTAAATAGACATAAAGACACTACCAGTCTGTAGTCAAAGCTCAATCTCTGACACTGTCACTACTAGGGATGGGAATCGATAAGATTTTATTGATACCAATGCCATTATCAATTCTGCTTATCGATCTGATTCTTTATCGATTCCTGCGGATTTTCTGTGTGGAAAAAAGTAGGCCTGTACAGGTTGTCAGTGTCGACAACATAAATTTTATTATGAGTCTCTGAACACTGAACAAGATAGATAACTGCTCTGTAGTTGTTCAATCCCTCGAGGAGGGGGTGCTGTCTGCCTCTTTAGGTCTGCTTTGTATTAATTAACTAAACAACAACAAAAAACAAAAACTTATCCTTCACTTGAAAGAGCCGGCTGATTAACGTCACTTCACTAATACGTCCCTTCACTGCTCTGCTGAGACTGGGAAGTAGAGCTCAATACTCAATGGATGGCAGCCAGAGAAATATTATAAATGGCGCCTAGTGCTGGGCGTCTACAGATGTTTCAGCATGTTGCTGGTGTTTCCATCCTCGCTTGAAATCTTAGTGCCACAGACATGGCACGTTGCGCTGTTAGCGTTATTTTGAGTGAAATTAAGCCACACCTCCTCAAATCCTTTGTTGTTGTTCGCGCTGACTCTCGCGAAAGCATGATGTCATTGTTTTGCAAGGCACGTGAGCGAAGTGGAAGGCATCGATAAGGGAATGGTTAACACTAGAAGAACTAAATACCAAATTTAAATATTAATGTATTTATGATGTTAGCATATCTTTAAAAAAACGAAATAACAACAAAATGTAAATTTTAACAAGTTTAATCATTGCAATTGATAGGCTTAACTATTTACATATTTACATAGGCTTAGTATTTATGATTGAGAACTTCATTCAACATAACTCGAAAAACAAAGTGAACGAAAAAAAAACAAGTAAAAGTATCTTATTGATTATAATTATGAAACATGATTGAAAAAGCCGAAAACAAACTGATCCTAAACTAAAAAAGGAACCAACAATTAAGTTTAAGCCTAAGAACAATAAAACAATCATATCAATGTTAACTTATTACATCTGTTGCCTGATTACTTAAACTGGACAGTCAACACAAGTCACCTGTCTTCTCCCTCAATTTCCGCACACCGGTTTGTGGCATTTGCAGCAGGTGTCTGAGGTTTTGTTTTGGTTGCAGCTTCGACGCACCTGGCACTGCCTCCTTGTTGGTATCTGCTGTGGTGTTTTTATTTGCTGCAGACTGGGACCTTGTGCCAGCTGCCCGGCTGCTCTTTTGACCTCCATAAAGTCAGCTCTCAGCTCCTCAGCCAGCTGCTGCAAGAATATGAAGAATATGAATCAAGAATTTGATGTCGGTGCACTCCTTGAAGAGGATACGGGCATTGATACCAACCAGGTCGAGGATGTTATAAAATACAGCTACTGGCCATCTGATCCAAACTGTTATAGTACACCACTGACTCCGGCTTTACCTTCGGCCCATCAGTGATGCCCACGCTTGTGTGCACGGAGCTCAGAATGCACACATTCTTACATTCTTGCTTTCCCTGGTAGATGGTGAGTGTCGCATCAGCACACTTCAGCACCTTTGTGCTAAACAGCTCCACTTGCTCTGTTGTGGCGCTGCCTGCAAAGCTATGGCCAGCTTAACAGATGTAAAGAAATTGCCAGTGGTGATGTTTCTCCCCTTCCCCAGGAGTGGCTCCGCCAGTTTCAGCACCACACTCTCTCCCACCAGCTGACCTCTGCTTCCCGTCTCCTCCTTGCCCAGATATGGAGCCCCGTTCAGGTTATATTTTGTTTGGACATACACAGCCAGCCAAAATTTGATGCCAAATTTGTCAGGTTTGTTCCCCATGTACTGAATAAATTTGCACCAGCCCTTGGTGGGGAACAGCTGTACATTTACTGTGATGTCAGCACTGGGCTTGTAGCAGGCTATGCTGTTCTGAACAAACTTGTTCCAAGTGGCCGACACCAGGGCAAACTTATCATCCTGAAGACACACCGTGTCTCCCTCTGATTGAACCGCAGGAATCTCATTATCTCCCTAAAGTGATTTCTGGCCCCATTTTTCAGACCACAGGCTGTCCAGCTCCATGTTTTTTGCACCCTGTGCATGGATGTATAACAGGGCTATGAAGGCTTTCAGTTCAGCCACTGTCAAGTCCCATGAGCTGTCATCATAGTGCCGATGTGCCTCAGTCACAGTGCAGTCCCTGATGTGCTTCAGCATATCAACATCAAAGACACAAATAAGGACGTGAGGGCATTTTCAATATTGCACTTTGTGCGCGCCGATGGGCAGCAGCTTCGGTCAGGACGTTCTGGCTCTGCCTTCTCCCTGGATGTTCACTTGGCTGAAGGACCCTCCACACCGTCCCATCCTTCCCCTTGACTCCAGGTTGAGTACTCCAGTTGGCTTAGCACAAGACAGGACAGGGCAGCGGAGCTCAGGTGGTGCGTAAGCCGTGAACAGGAGATCTGGATTCGCAGTCTCCGATCAAAGTAGGCGCCTCTTTTTTGTCCGCATGGACTCGGATTCACTCTCTGATGAGGATGAAGTGTTCTCAACCACCGAGGAAAAGTCGCTGTCACATTCCACCTCCGACAGACCCCCTGCATCAGAGTCATCACTGTCCAAATGCTGAAGCATCTCCAGGGCCATGTCAGCTGTCATTTTTGTCTTCATTCTGTCTTTTCTATCCATTTCCGCAATTCTTTTTCAAATTCTCTGTTATCTTGTATCCACAATTGTTCATGTTCTTATAATAGATATTTGTGAATAGCAAATTATTCTTGTAGCCAGTAGCTAGCACTCCAGACCGCTACTGATGTTTTTTTTTTTTTTTGATAGTTGCTAAGCAACCAAATAAACAATTTCAGAGCACGGAGTAACGTGCGGTCAATATGACCTATGACCTGAATTGGGACACAGCTATTGTTGGTTCAGAGTGAAATGTCTTGGCGGCTACAAGATGGATTGCCTTAAATGTGCTGATATTCCCCTCAGGATGAATTGTAATAAGTGTGATAATCCTCTTTATCTTCTTTATCCAGTGTCATCATCAGATCAACATTTTAATTAGTCCAGTATTTTGGTTTATTACAATATACCTTGAAAACTAATGACATCCTATGAGCCTCAGCACTGTGTTCTAACTAACTAACTAACTAGTAACTAATGTTAGCATGCTAACATGCTAAACTAAGCTGTTGAACATGGTAAACAGGGTACAATTTGTTAAAAAGGAATGGTTTCAGAAAGTTTGTAGTCATAAAAACACTATATATTAAATAAAATAATAATAAAATAAATGAATATATAATGAGGGTTATTGAGCAGTTCCTTGCAGCTGTTAAAGGGGCTATTTGTTTTCTCTGCTGCTGAACATGGTTTCTTGTCAGGAGTCGTTGGTTGTGATTGTGACCTGACCAGAGCTTCAGTCATTGTTGTGTTAACAAAGTTATAATATGTCCTCTGAGCAGCTATGTCTGGTCCATTTTCTGTAGCACAAGTTTCTTGTGTTTACCTTAAATTCAGGACAGACTGGAGGCTACAATTAGTCGCTATTGGAAAGTGACAAGATGGGCTGGGGCTAGCTGGTTAGCATGCTAACTTCAGTAGAAGAAAAGAAGTGATAGAGAAAAGAGTTAACATTGCTGTTTGTTTCCTCCTCTGGAGACAGCTGTTGGTGAGTAAAGGAATGAAGTTTGATGCTGAACTCACAACATTTTTTCTAGACTGGTAGGTAAATGGCTGCTAATGCTAATGCTAGCTATGTAACAATAGCAAAACTTACAAATTGCTCCTTTAAAGTAACATTTATAGAATGATTAGGAACATTAATAAAACAATTTAGGAATTTGAACTTAACAACTGCATATGCATGAATATTTTAATCCATTTTTGAAAATCTATTAGTATTATATGTAATTTATCATTTAGCTAGTGCAATATTTTCACTCTCCTTTCATCATGCAAACACATGAGATGTGATCATACACGAAAAAAAGGTTAAATGGTAATTTTGTTCCCACCAGGGATAAAAATAATTCAGTAGGGGCAGCAATATATAGACCAGACAACAAGTATTCAAGAGAATGCATTTTTTTTATTTGTAGTATCAAGTATCAACACTTTTATTAAGTTAGGAAATTTAAAATGCATTCCAGAGGATCTCAATGGAAAAATAAATAGCAAAGAGATACTAATTTACACACTCAATAAACCAACACAAATAGTGTGATAAATATCAGGATGAAAATAATCAGAGAATTAGGATGGGCATTTTTTGTACATCACAATGGGATCTTGTTGTCTTCTTAAATAGAATTTTTGGATTTATTGCAAACCAGCACATTGGTGGGGAATAAATAAATCGCTGTCCATTCTAACATGCAACACTGGGTGTTTCTGAAGAACAGTATTTACATATACAACAGCATCCAGTATAAGTTTAGCAACAGGTAAAATCTTGATGCTTGGCTAAAATGACATCACCAAACTATATTTGCTTAATTGTCCCATTAAAAACAACATACAACATTAATAATGGATCTAAACTGTGTTACCTAATGAGAAGCATGAAGCCTAATGTTTCTCTGACCTGAACTTTAGTCCCACTTTTGATAATAAACACTTCTGCTGTGATATTTGTACAAATGTTGACAGCTGTCTCTCCGACAAAATGAACCCAGTTGAAAAGTCTACGGCACCAAACCTCCACACTGACAGAGTGGGGTATGAGGAGCAGTCCAGTCTCAGTTTCAAGTTTTCCTTTTCCTTTGGCTGGTGGAGGTCTTTTGGTGGATTCGGTCCTGCAGCCATATTCCCCTGCTTCCTGATTCATGTCTTGCAGGACAACCCCGTGGCCTGTGTAGTGTGTCTGCACGCTGTGTGCTCACTCTTCACGGCCTGGGAGGTGGTATGGTGTGGTGGGTGGGGTGGGACTGACTGTAATGCCAGGATCTCAGGAGGCAAAGTAGGAGCTCTGCATTGAGTACAGACGGTCAATGGGGTTCCCCACCCGAGCCTGCAAGGAGCCTGCGTCTGTGTTGGCCATGAAGCAGTCGCTTAGACTTGTCAGAGAGGTGTCGCTGTCGATGTCGTGGACAAAGGAGTCAGTACCTGGTAAGAGTGGAGAAGACATGGAGAAGTCAAACACAACAGCTGGTGCTGGCTTTGAAAATACTGAACTCACTGTTTTCACTGTTGAGAGCCTCCAGTCCACATCAACATGGGAGGAAACCACTGGGACCACTTAAGAAAGACCACAGTGCTAAACACGCACTAACAGTGATTATGGAGTGTGATGCTCACCGTAGGGGTTCATGTGGTCGCCAGGCATCTGAGGTGGGGTGAGGCCCTGCTGGAAGGGGTCAGTGTTGTAGCCGTTGTGCTCCATGGTCACCAGGTGCTGCTGCTGGTTTGGAGGTAGAGGTCCTGAGTAGGAACTGAGCAGACCCTCCATACAGCCTGATATCACCTCTGTATCAGTCAATGAGAGCAGGGTTACAACACGAGTCACTAACCTCACATTGTTACCTTTGACATTTAGGGCGTTGGCTTGTTTGCTGTCTAACTACATGTACTGTAGAGTGGGTTAATATAATTTTGGTCTCTCTTGTGCACAGTGGGGCTAGCTTAACTTGGCACAGGAGCTGGGGGTGTATGGAGGTAGTTAGGCTCCATAAGAGAAGAAATGTGACTCCTGTTAATCCCAGCGTTGTCTCTTTGACATGTTGTGCGTTCTTGGCTGGTCTCCTAACGTCAGCCATAGGACCACCTACAGGACCGTCTTCTGAGTCTGAGCTGTGTGCAGTCTCTGAGGCTTAGCTAGCTGCTGGATGGTCAGTAAATCCCTCCAAACTGTGTAATGAGATGTAAGTATTAATTCATTAATTTTTATTCCTCTGCACCGGCTACAGTCTGAGCCGGAGGCACATTGTTTTTTTGTGTTGTCCATCCATCTGTCCCATTCTTGTAGATGTGATATCTCAATAACGCCTTGACAGAAACTTCTACAAATTTGGTAGAAACATTCATTTGGACTCAAGGCTGGAATGATTAGATTTTGGTGGTCAAAAGGCCACAGTGACCTCACAAAACACTTTTTAGCCATAACTCAAGACTTCACTCAGCAATTATGACAAAATTTCTCACAAATGGTTGATATTTGATATGACTCTGGATAAACAGGGATGTGACCTGGCGGTGGTGATATACCTGAATCTACGGTGGCCCTGAGAGCTCAACACACTGCAACTTAAGAAAACATATGCAAACAGAACAAACACAAACAAATTAAGAAAACATCTTCATCAACTTGACAATGCATGTGTTTTCTCAAGTTGCAATGCATTGAGCTTTGTGGGCCACCGTAGGAAGCTGTTTGGTGAATTGCCATAAGTTTCCAGAAGAAGAAGAAGGTGTAATTTAGCAGTTTAGGTACAACAACAACAGTTCAGTTCTCTCACCCACACAAATCTTTCAGTGGTTGAACTATCTGGAATCAGATAAATGCTACAACAGCACATGCTATGTGACATACTGTATGTCACAATAACTGACTGAAAGAAAACAGCTCATTTTATTTTAGTGTTAAATTTTAAATATATATTTAGCCTATGGACTTATGATATGGCCATAGAAAATAGGATTCTCTTGATCTTAGAGCGTTGAACACCAAACATCCCCACACACACAAGAACAGACACTACTTCCGTGCTTTGTCTATGAATGCTGTGCATCACATGCTTTCTTATAAAAGCACACAGTATATTGTCACAACTGACTGTTAGATTGTGAAGATGCCTCACCAGTCGTCCAAGAGGCTTCATCTCATCCTAACATCAACTTCAAACAACCTCCATTTGCTGGTTTGCTTTGCTCATTTGGTTAACAGCAGCAGCTTCCACTATAATAAACCCGGCTGCTATGTCAATATTGACACACTGGAAGTCCCCGAACAGATAGAGGCAGTGCTTGCCAAAGCACTGAGACACTTATCTATACTGTCTGCTCGTATCTGCTGTGAGACCACAGTGGCAATAAGCCTGCTAGCCATGATGAGCTGTGCTCCAGAGAGAATCATGGCTGCCACTTTATAGCTCATATTTACCAGCAGAGATGTGGCTCTGCCTTCACAGTATGGGACTCATGCTAAAGCCCACAGAACTGGGAGTGTTTGCTGAGTGACTGTCCTCTGTTTATTGTTCCCATAATAACTTTAATATTTTAAGCTGTTTCTCCAAATAATTCATAAATTACTCACTTTCAGCTTTCATGGCCATTACAGTTTTAACAGACAGATTACATGTTGCAGATGGACATCAGCGGAGCTTTTCTTTTTGTAACAGTGGAGAAAGCAGCCAACCAGCTAACAGTACAGTCAACACACACAGATGATAAATCCTCACCTTGGCCTAGCCTTTGGTTGCTGTGCTGCTCCTGCTGTTGCTGATGTCTGCGAGCTAGCTTCTTCATCTGTAAATAAATAAACACAGAAAATAGCTTGGTGTGTAGCTGACAGGCATTTAATGAGGAAACAACAGCAAAATAAATAAATGTCAATAATAATAACAATTGTCAAATCATTCTATATTCAAAATATTAAATTACTAAATCATATTTAACACATTGCATTACTAAATTATATATTTAAAATTTTACATTTACTTAAATATATATTCAAAATATTAAATAACTAAACTGTATATCTAAAATAGGGTCTGAGGTATGATGTTGAATTACCTCATGTTGTCAAACAACACAAGGCTACAGCCAAAACATGTGCTCTGAACTTTGACTCCTTTGAATATTGTGGTTGTCATTAAGTCCAAATATGCATCTGAAGTCATTAAAATAATTATTGTGATTACTTGAAATGTATTTTCATATGCATTTTAACAATATGAAACAAGACAATTTAAAAGCAATGGTAATGGATGTGGGCCCAGACAAGCTGTGTAATGACCCAACGTTTTCACCAGCTCCTGGACTCTAGCTTTGTTTCCCACATGACTCCACTGAACCAAAAAACTCAAAGGACAAGATCCTAAATGGCCTCAGGCCAGCGAAGTTAACATCTGTGCCACCTCCACCTTGGTTGCAGTACTCCAATTTTTCCCATAAAGCAAAGTGAGGGGTTGAGGATGCGTGCTGTTGGACTCCTCTCACTCCTATACCAGGATTTTAACTTTCAGACTCTTTCAGACTCTCATTTTATTTATCCATTTGATTTTAATCCATTCCTCTCTCAGCTGTCTCTCTGGACTATAGGTCGGCCCAGAACCGGTGCTTTGGATTAAAACTTAATAATAAACACAGGGCTCCCACAGGGCTGTGTCTTATCTCCTGTTCTGTCTGACATCTACACCATCAACAGCACTGCAACACTGAAAAACTGACTGACTTTGTGTGAAGCATATTGTAAGTATGTGGACTCTCCAATCACCCTCATTGATGAGAGCTCTTTGGAGCTGAACATCTCCAAGACCAAAGAGCTGCGTTGGAGGACGAGACTAACATCTGGTGACGCTGCCCACTCACTTCCTGGACCCCTGGAATCAGAAGGGCAGGTGGTGCAGCAGGTGGGGGCCTTCAGGTACCCTGGCCTTTTACAAGAAGGCATGGCAGCGCTTCTTTCTGCTGAGTTGCAGTGTTAGGGAAGACATTTTAACAGCTCTTTGTTAAAAACAAATTGAAGCTTTCTCCGATAACACATTCAAGTAAAACATCAGGCCCCAACCAGTCCTCACCGTCAGATCTGTGCACCCAGGCAGGTGGATGTAAAGAAACCCTTATCACAAGGGATCATTCACACCTGCATTCAACTCCTCCATCAAGCCGCTGTTATTAAAACTCTTCAGCCAAGACAAATATAATAAAAAAAAATAATAAAAAAATCTACTGACCACTGTAGTTTTTATCAAACAAACAGGAGGAAACAGTGCATTTGTGGGGGACTATTTTCAGTAGCGGATGAATCCCCATTTGTTGCTTTAGTGAGTATTTGGGGGCAACAGGGCGGTGTGTGTGGGATTTAGTCAAAATACACTACAGTGTGTGTTCTTGGTGATTAAGAAGAGTGGCTCAGTGATGTGTGAAGAGGTAGGAGACATTGATAGTTGGTTTGGCTCTGCACGTTGATGTGTGGATAAGAAATAATAGAAATATTACCAGACTTGTCCTTTAAGAATCAAAGATGTCAGTATTTATTGTACTGTCAGACACTGATTGACTGTGATTTATTACAGACTGTTTTAGACTAACACATTCATAACATTCATACATATATATTGATAATTGACTGCAACAAAAGGCCTGTTGGATGTTCACACTTCAAGCTTATAGAGTAGATTCACTGAAGCTTAACTGATGAGGAACTAGTTTAGGGTCATGATTCCTGTCTTTCTTCACCCGACCACCAGATGTCCTCGGACTTTCCTCCTGCTCCCAGCGCCACCTGCTCATCTGTTTCCCATTCCCGATCACTGGAACTTCCCCGCCCACCTACACACCTGTTCCTCATTTGCCTCATTTTCTCCCCTGTATTTATACCAGCCCCTTTTCCCCACTCAGTCGACAGATTGTTTTTTTCATGTCTCACTTTGCTGTGGACACTCGTTCCTGTTACCGTGCCAACTGTCTGTGTTTAGCTACCTGTTGTCTGTTACCCGACTGCCTGTAAACCTGGTCTCCATCGTCTAGTAACTTCACTGCACCAGCCTGCCTGTTTGCAGAGGCACAGTAGAACTGGCAGCTGCTTTCTCAAAATGCTCACAAGTCATTAACATGGAAAAAGCTTGCATACCACATGATGCTAACGCAGCATTACCCGTGTATACAGTGTGAGTGTTGACAGCTTGTTGCTACTGACCTTTGCTCTCTGGTTCTGGAACCAGACCTGGACCACACGAACACTGAGTCCTGTCTCTGCAGCCAGGGTCTCTCTCACCTGTAAGTCACAGCACAGTCACACTCATCAGCCATTTTTACACATAAACTTCATGTGTGTAGTGCATGTTTCCCAAATGACAGACGCCCATCGCTGAGTCTGGTTTTGCTGGAATTCAGGCACCTGGATAATGTTGGAGTTACATCAGGATTAAGTCCAAAGACCTGAGCTCTGAGGTTCCACCTGCAATAAACAAGGGTCTGAAAATATCTTTAATGTGACTTTCAATAAAGTCAACTGTTCAGGATAATGTCCGGATAATCAAGAAACACGTCAGCATGAACATCACACTGTGTTTTAACTGCATGTTAATTTATAAAATATCAATACATGTGGTATTAGATAGATGCTAATATTCTGTGTCTGTACCTTTCATATAGGTACAAAATTTAATATTGAGAAAAGCATCAGCAGCAGTAGTAGTAGTAGTAGTAGCAGCAGCAGCAGCAGTAGTAGTAGTAGTAGCAGCAGCAGCAGCAGCAGCAGCAGCAGCAGCAGCAGCAGCAGTAGTAGTAGTAGTAGTAGCAGCAGTAGTAGCAGTAGTAGTAGTAGTAGTAGTAGTAGTAGCAGCAGTAGTAGCAGTAGTAGTAGTAGTAGTAGAAGAAAGTGATGCAGAACTGATTGAGGAATACTAAAGTTTATCACCAGTACAACCTGGGCCCATTTTAAAAATAACCTCCTGTCCCTTTTTTCAGTCATGTGAGCTGCATTATCCTACAGTATCTGAGACGATCAATAGGAACATAAAGGTTCTGTAAACAAGATTTTAAACATTAATACAGCACAACAACTATTCTCTATGTAAAGATGTGGTGGAGTAATGGCTTCCTGAGCAGAGAAAGAAGCCACACCCCCTCTGTGTGTGTTGCAATCCGAAGTTTCTCTGGTCTTTGTTTTGATTGTTCCAATCTAGCCACTAAGCAAAGCTTTAGTATGCAATATGAAAGTAAAATATCTCACTATACTCAACCCTCACCTTTCTGCAGGGTTTGGAGGAGACCTCAAAGGAGGCCTTGAAGGCTCTCCTCTGCTGGGTGGTGAGGATTGTGCGTGGTCGTTTGGGCCGGCGGGGGTCTTTGCCGTCATCGTTGCCTTTCCCTGCTGCAGGGCTCTTCTCTGACTTCACATTCAGATCCTCATCCTCACTCTTGTCTATCACCAGACACAGAAAGAATGAGACCTATCTATATATATCTATATGCGTTGTGAAATTCTTCGGGTTTGTAATTGTCCTCTATAGAATCCACAGTGTTACCTGAGTCTGAGTTGTCTGGACTGACAGAGCTGAGCAGCTTCCTCTCTCTCTCATAGTCACTCTTGCACAGCAGCTGACCTTCTTTCAGAACAAACTGGTCTCCTTTGCACAGCTGGCGCTCGCAGACACAGCAGTAGAAGCAGCTCAGGTGGTAAACACTCTCCAGAGCTCGCATTACCAGCTCTGTGGGTGCTATCTTCTCCAGACAGCCGCTGCACTTAGTGGAAAACAACCTGTGGACACATAGGGAGGAGAGTTAACAATGCGGACTTCACTACATGGGGACAAAGAGGTGCATTCATCCAGTATTTTCCAAAAAAAAAAAAAAAATTCCATCCAACTTCCAAAAACTGAAAACAACTTAGTGTAGTAGAGCTCCCATTCCCACCCCTCCAGTAATGACTTTTTAAAGGGCTAGTACGTTTTCTTTACCGCCAACTGTGGTTTCTTGCTGGGAGAAACCATGCGACGACAATCACCACCACCTGCTGATTTTCGCGTAGCCACTGTTGCATTTACAAGACATGAGGTTATAATACGTCCTCTGAGCAGCTATGTCTTCAGGACAGACTGGAGGCTACAATGAGTCGCTATCGGAAAGTGACGAGACTGGCTGGGGCCAGCTGGTTAGCATGCTAACTTCAGTAGAAGAAAAGAGTTAACATTGGTGTTTGTTTCCACCTCTGGTAACAGCTGTTGGTGAGTAAAGGAATGAAGTTTGATGCTGAACTCTCAATATCTCTTCCAGACTCGTAAGTACACAGCTATTAATGCTAACGTAAGCTATGTAGCAATAGCAAAACTTACAAATAGCTCCTTGACACACTACTCTCTGCTTAGGCATTGTCCCTTTTCCCAGTAAGAGATCCTGAACTTGAATTCTGGACCTTGTGCCTGAGAATATCCACTTACAATTATGTTGCTATAACACTGGGTTGGTACGTCCTCATCAGAAAAGACAAAGAGCTGGTGACAACACAAGTGAGAGGAGAATGCAGGAACACTTAGTCTTCTATGAGAGAAAAAAAAGGAAAAGCCGGCAAACCACCATGCTTTTCACCCTGCATATACTGTACAGTGTGTCATTACTGTATCCTGCAAAACCAGAAACCAAAAAAGAAGCCAGATGTGTTCAGGCTAAATTCATGAGCTCCTACTTGGCACTAATTTTTAACCCTTTCAAGCTCTCTGCATGTGAAAGGCTTTTTGATGTTGTAATGGGCCCACACGGGGCTCAGATGGAAAGAACAGGGACAATTTTCCAACCGCTCCCCACAACCACCTAATGAGGAAATATGTGATCTTTTAAACAAGGAAGTGGATGCTATTAGATGAAGGAATATTACTGAACCAGTCTGTTCTGAGTCAAATTCAAGATGCTTGATTTAATTGCCCATTACTCTTTTTTTGTTGTTTATTGAAGGTGCCATCAAATGAGCCACAAGTGAATTCCAACTCATCAGACCACAAGGTGAATGGTTTCAAATGCAAAGTTAAACCACAATTAGGAGAAACAATCTATATAATAGAAATTTAGAATGGAGAGAGAGAAAATAATAGGTTTTTAAAATGTCGCTGGCTGCACGAGTTGCAATGTCATCTCACTTCCGTTATATCTTAATTCTATTTACTTCAGTTGGCACCAGCAAATCCAGCCTCCTGAAAACAACCCCTTCACCTGCTAAGTCGGCCTCCTCCCAGCCTGTCTAGTCGGCTAGCCTCCAGTCTGCACCTAAGCCTGCTCTTCAGTCCATTCAGCTTGGGTTTGAGAGAATTAAACCTTCTAGTCCTGAGCCGTCTAGTCCGCAGTCTGCTCCTGTCCCCAAGCTGACCAGCCTCCTGTCAGGTTCAGACCCTGAGCAGTCCCTTTTCTGGAGCACTTACTTGGCCAAAGCATAACACATTCAGTGCCATTGTTCATGAATGATATCTTTATACAATAATTTTATACCATAGCAATAGTATAGGTAAAATTAGGAAAAAACTGGTTATGGCAAATAAATGAACATAGACACTTGGTTAAAGTCAGGTAAAGAGAATGGTCACAGTAAAACATTAATTGGTCTCCTGAGGGAAGCCTATCCACCACAGCGACCTCCACACCCTTTTCCACAGCACTATATAAAGGACACACTCCTTCCTGCATCAGCACTGGACATAAATTATGAGGTGTTCCCAAGTGTTTCATCAGTCAGCACGGACTTGATTAATTGCTTGTTTGATTTTTTTCAAAATTTAATCAAAACCGTCATCTTTCCCTAATTAACCAAGTGTTTCAGTTGCCCTAAAGGCTGGAGTAATGCTTGAGAATAAGAAATCTTGTCCCACTATGTCTGAAGCCTGAAATTCTCATTATGAATGGCAACACTCGAAGGTGGGGCAAAAAACCTGCCAACATAGAGAGGGGTGAGACACAAAACATGTGCACCAGGGGTATTCAATTCAAATTGATAGAGGTCCAGTTAAACAAAATTTCCTCAAGCAAAGGTCTGGAACGTTGGTCGTTACAGCTCACCAAAAGTCTCAACCATTTTTATCACAACAATCACAACTGAACAGCTTAACACATCCTTTTCTCTTTCTTTCCCTCTTCTGTCCCACTTTTCCCACTGATTTCTCAGACATCGTCTCTCCTCCCTGTGTGGATCTCACTCACTGACTCGAGTCTCAATGACTGGCTCATGTGACCAGTGCCGTAAAAGGCTAATTTAATCATTCTCAATAATTTATAGGTTATAGGTCCAGGTGTGGATATGACGGCGTCTGGGTTTGCATGTATTAGTGACTTGTGGTGTATTCTTGTGGACAGTCTCTCCTCAGTTGTAACACACAAAACGTGAGCAATAGCTGTGCAGTTGTAAACCTGTCTCCTAAAATTCTGTTCATACACAGCAAAACTGTTTTCCCAATGACACAAGTCACTGGCTGATAATGTTCAGAGGCAACGTTTAGTTGAATGAATGAAGTGCTACATTTATCAACAACAGCCAGTCATCAGGAGGTGGTTGGGGTGGATGGCACATGACTGTCACATCTCTGTGTTTAGGTGGTTAGGTTGAAAGAAAGATTAAATATTTACATTAAATGTAAATGAACAGGTTGTGAGCCTTTTCTGTAAACAACTCCTCCAACCTGAACAACCACACAGGTCGTTTATTAAACCCTCTGGTACGACCCATAGGGGTGTCTCCTGAAATAGTGCCCCTACAGCAGCAGGCGTACCGGACCTCGGTTGTCATGGTTACAATAATAAACATGGAGGCTGTAGCGAAAGCACCGTACCTAACTTCGTCGCTACTATTACTATAATAACGGTCATGGCTTGGTTAGGTTTAGGAAAAGATCGTGATTTGGGTTAAAATAAGTACTTCCTCAACATTGAATGGTCTTTGTCGTCATGGTTACAATAATAACAACGTGGTTAACTCCTCCTGGCGTGGACTTTGTCTCTTTTCATACTACGTCCCAACTTTTCCCTTTGCTCCTGTCATAATTACTGTAACCATTAGATGTTGCCTAGCAACAAAACGTAACTATGGCATAACAACCTGCTGCACAGACATGGGCTCTTTTGTTTGTTTGTTTTTTACAGGAGGATGGTCTTGTATCAAACCTGTGCTGTGAGATCAGATATTTTGGTGGAAAACAAATATGTTGTCTATGATTGTGACTCTGCAATATCAACGTATTTGCGATTTTCCAAACATATAAATTAACAACATATTCTAATTATGTTAATAGGAAACATGGTCTGGTCGCGATTATGTTTCCTCCCAAACATATTGACTGTTGCAGATTAGTTGCATATAGATAATTTCTAGGAGACAGAGTTGGCAGCTGTATTGATACTGAAAGTAACAACACTGTCAGACGCAGTCAACGACTGCAGCTCATGACGGTTGAAATAACTGCACAGACGTAGAGATGCTGCAGGCACTGTGTTCTCCCTCAGAGGGATTGTCTAAATGCATCCAGAGTGACGTCCTGTTGTCTGGACTCACAGAGGGTGCTGTGTGTGGATTAGGTCTATAGCATTAGTATGATGACCACAAGCTGTAGAGCGACCAGCGACTGGAGCCAAGACTGGGACTCAAGAAGAAGCCACAGCCAGCACAGATCTCTATAGACACATTCTTCCTCCTGACAGCTCAGAGAGAAAGTGAGAAAACTTCCCAGACAGAGAGAGAGATGATAGAAGCCAAGGAGAGAGAAAAGATGGACAGGGAACAAAAGACAGAGAGAGATTTGTGTTCAGGGTCTTTTTGGAAGAGTTAACGGTGTGGGGGGTGTTTGTGTGTGTGTTTGGGGCAGAGTTAGGCTCTATGCAGCAAAGAGATACTTTCTTTTCTGTACCTCCTTACCCAGGATTGGACATTGGTCACACTTCATGCTGGTACTGACTGAAACAGAAAGATTTTCAAAAAGCCAGAAAAAGAACTTGTAAATAAAAAATATATAGTTTGACCAAGAGATCATAAAATTCAAAAGGTTTTATCCTCTTGGGAACATTTATGCACGCAACAAATTTCATTGCAGTCTGCCTAAACACAGGTTGTAGCCTATGGGAAGTTACAATTTGGCCTCAGGTCACAAAAGCTTTAGCATTCATCATCCAAGTTTCATGGCATCTGGCCAGAAGTAGTTCTTAAGATATTTTCGTAGACCAAACCGACAAACATCACCAACTCTTTCTCATGAAAATGACCTTTGTTACTAATTGAAGTCCCATATAGTATAAAGGTAAATGTCCATGTTTTGTTTGATTATACAGCAGTCTTGGTTCTATAGTAATACTGTGAAAGTATCAAAGCGCTCAATTTTGTGAGCTAATCAGAAGAGAGGCGCAAAGGCTCCTCTCCTCTGATTGGCTCACTGACCTGTTGTCACTAGAGCTCCAGGGAGAAGCCTGAGAGAGACGATATAAAACTACACTGAGATGGTTTTTGGTTCTTAAAACCACAAATATATCTTCTGATGGATCAACACTTCAAATAAAACACAGAAGAAGAGGAAAATATGGAGCTTTAACATCAGTAAATACCTTTGTAGGTAATGTCATACCCCCTAGATTATATCTATCTACATAATGAGTAATGTACATATTGTACATAATGTTTGCACTGACAGTATCTGCAAACTGAAATTGCCGACACAAATGCAAAACATTCACTGATAAAACGCATAACATTTGCCACATTATTAGCTCCTTGCAACTCAAGCTTGGTGAACGCTT